GAGCTGCTGCCGTGCCGGGAGACCTGCCGCTGGGCTCCGGAGCTCCAGGAGCCGCCCAGGGGCGAGGTAGCCTTTTGAAACGGACCCAAGAGTGCCCCCGCGTCCTGTCATCGCCTGAAGACTTGCCACCACGGTTTCTGGTGGTGGCATTCACGGACGAGTCTCACGGAAATAGAGCGGGTGGTGGGGGGCGGTTAAGCCTTTCACAGGCAGCAGAAGAAAGTGCCTGTAAAGTGGGGAAGAGTTTTGGGTTGGGCCAGGATGTTTCGCGTGGTGCCGGGGTTGAAAACAAGAGCTGGGAAGGAAGCCCGTGCCCTCGCCGGTTTCAGTTCTTGGCCCCTGTAAAACTTGCAGGGGCAATATTGCCGGCGCGCTCGGAGGGGATCAAAGTAGGAGAGCTGGAAGTTGGGTCATGACAACGTCTTTGAAATGAGGAGTATTTAAGTAGAGAATATGCTGATGAGTGCAAAAAGCGCGAGTTGAGATTGGATACGTTAAATTGTCCTCGGCGGTCTTATCTTACGAGAGAAATAGCGGTGGAGTAGTCTGTGCAGCAGACTCCGTTATCAGCGATGAAGTTTGTTGCGCTGTTCCTTCTCCCCACCCCCCAAAAAAATACAAGTCCTGTTACGTCCTTGCCCCGCTTAGCCAAATCAATAGCCATCAAGTGTTTGCTTTTATTGTAGGTACGTGTGTTTTCGGTAGAGCACTTTGGGTGAGCTGTGGCGTGTGCGTTTTATTTTGTTATGCGTGGTGGTCTTTCCTTCTGCAGTATAGGTTCTTTGGAGAGCCTGTGGTAGAAGCTTGTGTTGAAAATGGTGCAAGCTGCATCGACATCAGTGGAGAACCCCAGGTATGCGACGGTAGGAAAATGCTGCCTTATGTCAAGGATCTGTTAAAGGAGCGTTTGTTTTGTGTGTTTCCTGTTTCTGCTAGTGTTTTTGAACGTGAAGACAAATTCTGCCTACTGACCTAGGGTTTTAAGATGCATTAAGTATTTTAAGCACATTAATGTGTATGAGTTGTATAGCTCTCTTACTTTTAGACAAGAGGCTCTCAGGTTCTCTCTGGAAATCCAAAATTTTTGAACTCCGCTGGAAGCCTCGGTTGTGAGTCTACGTAGGAATTTTGCGTAGATCACGTTTCCTTGCGTTGCTGTGACGCTTTCGTACCATAAAACAGGCATATCGTGTATCTGTCTTAAAGATGCTTGTAAGGGGTGTGAAGTACGTAGGGGGCTATGATATGACAGTATAAGCACTGGTGGCTGATATTGGGTATGGCCAAATATGGCATTCTGCTTAAAATATTTGTTCTGACTGTGTTTTAGTTTCTGGAAGGAATGTACCTGAAATACAACGAAAAAGCTGCGGAGAAGGGGGTCTATGTCGTTGGAAGCTGTGGCTTTGACTCTATACCAGCCGATATGGGAGTACTGTACACCAGAGACAAGTTGCAAGGTGACTTAAAGTTAAGCGTGACCTTATGCTGAAAAAGAAATGCAGATGCTGCTTTCACCTGGTTTCCTAAAGCAGCAGTGCTTATGTGGAAACTCTTTCGGTGCCTCTTTTTGCGTGCCTTTACCAGCGGACCAGTTTCAACCAAATCTGGTAGATAAAAATTTAAAAGTAAATCCTATTCCCGTTAGACTGGAGAAGATTGGTCGTGAGGTAGCGGAGGGATTCAAGGTAACGTTGCTCACTGCGAGACCAGAACCTTCGGTCGGCAGCAGCGGGCTGTTCAGCCAGTGCGTGGACATCCCTAGGCAAGCCTCGGCGCGCTGCCTCTTCTGCAGTGCGAATCTTGTAGGGAAGAGACAGTGGGGAGAGGAAGGCTGCAGGAGAGGGGTTGCAAATTAGCGGGCAATCAGGTTTTGTAAGTTTTCTTTTTCTACCGCAAGCACTGAGAAGCCGTTGTACGAGTGTAAGTAGACAGACAGTGCCACGCGGTGCCTTTTGCTTTAGGAGCAGCTAGACAGTAACTGAAAGAGGATAAATACATTTGAGAAAAGATGTGAGATGATTTAATTCTGTGCGAGTAGTACTTGATCCTAATCTCAAATGAGGTTACCTTGTTCGTCAGGTCTGACGTTCATTTGGAAGGGCAGATAAGAGTATCCACATGTTTTGCTTTTATATGCTATTAAAACTGCTGTTAAGTGGGGTTGCTTTACATTGGAGTGTATCATCAACGTTGAGTTTAAGGAAGCGTAACCTGGATCGGACGGGAGGGAGAAAGAGGCATGGAAATGAGTATCTGGTTGCTCATGGGGTTATAATTTGATGTCTGATACTTGTTTTGAATGCAGATGTCTTTTCTCTCTTCCTATTTTGACTTTATGGTATTATCACCTCTCTATGCAGTTGCTTGCTGCATTGAAATTTGCCCATACAAGTGCCATTTTCCAATCTCAGAAGGAACTGAGCAAGGCAAACCAAAGCAGAATTGGGAGGAGTTGGTTTGTTTGCTGTTCACCACAACTAAGCATTCTTTGCAAAACACAAGCTATGCTAAAATTCAGTGGTTTAGGATATCTTGTGTGTTTTGGGTTTTTTGTGGGTTTGGTTTGTGGTGGTGTTTTTTGTTTTTTGTTTTTTGGGGGTTTTTTTTGTAGTTAAGGTCTACCAAAATCCCTAAGTCTGTCTCAGTTTTCACAGCCTACATCATCCTTTCTTTTGAAACTTGGAGGAAAGCTGAATATGGCTCTTGATAGCCTTTTCCTTTTTTTTTCCTTGATTATTTACATTACCACATTCACTAGGTAAGAGAAATGAAAAACGTAATGAGTGAAGTTAATATTTAATATTAGCGACCCTTATTGAGGTACTTTACGTAAGAAGTTTGATACTTGCTAACTAAACTAGCCATGGAACTTAGTTTATTTTACTTTGAGGTAAAGATGTGACTCTGCCTTTTCAACTGATAATGTCAGTGGCCTGCTATTTGAATCTACCAGAGTGTACTCTGCCTTTGGGAACTAACGGCTGTGTATTGGCAGTTGGAGTAGACGATGGTCATAGGTCCATTCCAACTGAAATTGCCTGTTCTGTTCTATATGCCAAGTAATGTTTTCTCCTCCCTTAAAGGTACCTTAACCGCTGTGGAAAGCTTCCTGACGGTGAAATCTGGGCCTGAGGTTAGTTGGCTTACACCTTCTTGGAAACTCAGAGGTATTTGTGATAACATCGCCGTAGCCCATTAGAATAACTGTCGTTACATTAATTGAGACCAGGGAAGAAGCTGGTGGTTCTTTGATGATGAGTCTGAGAACTTCAGGAGCTAACAAAAGTATCCCAAGCAAACACCCTTTTGTAAGGTTCGTGTGCATAGGCTGTCTACCCAAAGTTTGTTGTGTTAAGCTGTTTCAAGAAAGACTTAGTTTTTGCAGAGGTGTGGGAGGGATTCACACGCAAGTAAACTACCACAGATGCACAGTGTGTCAATGTACTTCAATGCATGTAATCCTACTACATATATGTAATAATTGTAATAATGTGTAATATATGTAGTAATTCCTAAGGTCCTTATTAAAATAATACATGAAACCTTTAGATGCTGAATTAATTACTGTTTCATGGTATGTCACCAGGGTGCTCGTATACATGATGGGACCTGGAAGTCAGCTGTTTATGGCTTTATGGATCAAGACAACCTGAGGAAGCTTCGAAAAAAGATAGGATATGCCCCTGTTCCAGTAGTTGGTGCAAAACTTAAAAGAAGGTATAAGAAGTGTAAGATGTGAAACATGCTGTCTTCTCACAGTTCCAGTGTTTATTATATAGGTTGTTAACGTATTGTTTAAATACTAAAAAGATGCATTTAGGACGTTAGTATAGCATGAACACATCGATGCTCGTCTAGTAGAATTGAAGATAAGTTTGGTCTTACTGACTTGTTCGTATTTTACTGAAAAAAGAACATATCCCAGCATTTACTGGCTCTCAAAGTTAACTTGTTCTAAAAGACTTCTAGTGACATGGCAGACTTTTGATTTCAGAGGTGGTCAGCAGAATGGAGAAAAGAAATGTGAGATGAATGTTATTTTGATGATGAAATCCATCCTTGCTGTAGTGCATGGAATTTTGAGTTGAGGCAGGGATAAATTTGGAAAGGTTTGCTTTAAGTGAAAAGAGAGAATGTCATAAAAATGCTTGAGGAAAAGCCAGTATTGGTAGGGCCGTTACGATCCGTTTCTTTCAGTTTGCGTGAACACGTGAACGTTTTCTCTGACTTTTTTTTTTTCCCATTTGCAGAGGACTTGTGTTTTACAATCGGGAATTCAGACAGTACTCCATGCCATTCATGGGATCTGATGTTTCTGTTGTGAAACGGTCTCAGCGTTATTTGTACACAGAGTTTCAGGAAACACCTGTAAGTTACTGTTCTTAGTATACTGTGTCTTTATTACCATTTTCAACAAATCTTTCCTTTATGTGATAACTGTTCTTAGTGCAGATCTGTGTGGTAGCATTTCTGGAGTTAGGTTAATAGTAATGACCTGTGACGTGCTTTTGCTTCTGTAAAGAAGGCGGCTTGTTCTCTTGACCACCTTTGGAAGCTGCTTGACCTGATGTGGTCCAGGTTCTTCTGGGTGCACTGGCCTGTCTCGTACTACTCGATACCCTGCCTGATGAGCTTGCTTATTGGTGCTAGCATAATAGTGACGAGAGCCTCTTGTAGGGTTCTCATGCTGTCTGATTTCTGATTATGTATTTGTAGGGAATGGAAGCCTTGAGTCACAGAAGTATTTGAAAGGTAGGCTTCATGATTTTTGGGAACGATCAACAGATTAAATTCTGTTCCTGTGCAGAGGCTTTTTTTGTTGTGTCAGTAGAGCTTCTAGAGCATCGTAACTGTAGTCTGTGTAACTATAGTCAGGTCACTGTAGAGTAGTAAACATTCTGAGAAAGCGTTCACGTGCTGCTCATTTGTATCTGGAGACTTCTTTGATGCTTGGGTCTCTGGTGTGCAGAGTAAAGGCAATGTGAAGTGGTGGTGGTGGTGGAAAAGGTGTTTAGGTTTTGTTTCCCGTGGTTTCCTGAGAGGAGACCAGCACCAACAATCTGTATGACAGCCGTGCAGAATCACAGCCATCAGTTGGGAAGTGAAGGTGAGATAGCACTCTAAAAATGTACTTGGGAACTAGTAATATGAAAGGCATGCCATTGCTATTCCAGAATTCTCAAGTAAGGTCTCGGTTTCTCTTGAACTAAAGCACAAAGAGGAGGAAAGGAAGATCTTGGGAAAGAAGCCTGAAATCGGATACCAAAACACATCTTTCTTTAAAGTTTTCCACTCTTGTTTACCATGCTCGCTCCCTCGCCATTCTGTAGTTACATTGTCTTCTCATGATGAATTGTAAAGTGAAGCATCAGTCAGAGAACGAAGACAATTGTTTAAGGCCCTATTTGAACAGCGCTCTCTTGTGTCAAACAACCGCATGCGAATTTGGAGGTAGATTTGTTTTTCCAAATGAATTGATGCAAAAACTTTAATGTAAATTCTATCACTGGAAATATGTTTTTGCCTCAGGTGCAGTATGGTGCTTATGTGAACATAGGTGGTCTTGGCTCTGTTATCAAGCTGATGTTTGCTGGCATTTTATTTCTTCTTCTTGTGAAGTTTAGCTTTGGAAGAAAACTTCTGATAAAAGTAAGTGTTCAAAACACAGAAGAGTTAAGTGTTTGGAGTTCCTGCCCCACCCCCACCCCCGCCCCCAGCTAAGTTGGTCTTT